CTGTCTCTGGTGAATCCTCTCACACACACACCTCAGGTCTGCACCCCAGTTCTTATATGCATAAATAAATAAAATAAATCTTAAAAAAAAAAAAAGACACACATTTCAGCGACTTTCAAATGCACTGCAAAGGACCTTCACAACTTTCCTCATTTGACCAGGAGGCAAACTCAGGTAAAGGGAAGCCGACTGCTTGAGGCTACCAGCCCATGAGTGAAATCAAATCAGAAAGGCAACTGAGGCTCAGATTTCAGCGACCCCTGAATATGCAGTTTGGAGATTTAAATCAACAAGCTAAACACAAACATGGATTGAGTGTCAAGCAGGAGCAGGGTGGTAGGACTTCAAAGACAAGGAAGCCACAACCTCAACCGTCCATTGGGGTGCGGCCAGAACCCTGAGAATGAACTTTTGCCCAGCAATTCTGCAGGGAAAACCTGCATCCTGATAATTAATGATGATTTTAGCCGGGAAGATTTCATTGTAATGTGGCTTAATGAGGCAGAATTCAGAAACTATATAAAAGTCTAAGCGTAAGTGCGGGGTAAATGAAGTTGGTCAGGCTTTTACACCACTGGCCTCTGTGGCTCTCACCTGCGGCCTTGGTCTTGTGAACGCAGAGGGCATGTGGGCACGGGGAACACGCGTGCCTGACAATAGACACCTGCGTGTGTGCACAGGCGCAAGTGTGCACACCTGAGCCCAGAGGTCAGCGATATAAGGGTGTTGTCACTCAGAGACGACTGCAGGAGGATGGCTGAGGATTACAGCGAATAGCGGACGGGCGACTCAAGAGGAAGAGGCCACGGGAGAACGCCAGAGGAAGCCCAGAGAAAAGAGAATTTAGGGATTCGCCGGGGGCTCAAGTTGCTGCCTCCCTGCTGGCTGGTTTCCCTGCTTACCATTAAAACCTGTGAAAATGATACCAATGGCACCAAATTTTCCTTTAAATTGCTAGAACCGATGGTGGATCTCCCCGACCTGGGATGGTTGCAAAACAGTGATTGGTCACATATATTATCACCCAGACGTCCATTTAAATCGTGTTGCAGAAGAATACAGAAAACGTAACTGATATTAAAAAAAAGCCAATGACAGGTTACTGCATGAAAAATGCAGATTACAACATAGTTTATGCTACGATTACCTCTGTGTGTGTGTGTGTGTGTGTGTGTGTGTGTGTGTGTGAATACTGCAAAATTAAATAGTGGTTATTTTCATCTTAGGTGATACCGCCAATTTTATTTTTTTTTGTTTTGATTCCACAAATACTGAGCACCTACAAGGGGCATCTGTATGCCAGGCATTACATACAGAGTGGCGTGCAGAAGGATACTGACTCCCTGCCTCATGAAGGAATAGTGGGCAACTAAATAAACATTGCAGAGTTACAGATTAGCACACGCAGAGAGGGGATGAAGGACTCTTGGGGACAGAGGGATGCCGGAGAGGACATACCTGGATCCAACGGTCAGGGAGCAGCACTGGCATTTAAGTCGACACCTGAAGCCTAAGAAGACCTGCGTGAGGGCTGTGGTGGGGATGCCAGCGGAGGAACAGCATAAGCAGAGACTGAGGCACGATGTTTACGGAAGCTAAACGGTCAGTGCATGGAATGCTGGGAATCCATGTTTCCAGAATGAGCATTAAATGAGGTGGGCCCTCTGCGTAGGAGAGTTGTTCTTTCTATGGGAGATTCCTTCTAGAAGAAATCCATCACACACACACACACACACACAGAGTCCTCAGCTACCAGATCTAAGCTTCTGTGCAAATTCTACCTGCTTTGACGCAGCTTCCATCAAGTCCCGAGAAGACTGGCCACTCTCTGGGGTAATCTTGGTTAACAGTCAACATTTGCCTAAATGCCTTTTTATTCCCTGCTGTGTGGTGGTTATGTTTTGTGGGGTTTTTTCATTTTAAGCCAAGTCTCACCTACCTACTTTCTGGGTCAAGTCAGCGTACAGGAGAGATTCTCTCTCCTATGAGATTTTTAGAAAATCTGGTTGATAAAGTGAAATAATAATTGCTCAGGAAGATGGAAAACCTTCATTTGAAACATGTGCATCATTCTGGGAGTTTTTGGTAAAATGAAATTCCTTGCTAAAGGTAAAAAAGAGGTAACTTTTTTAACCAAATATTTTTTTACGGGGAAGTTGCCAGTTTCCTTCTGGGTCACAGCCCAGTTATGAGCCAGCGCACTGGAGAGAAAGACAAGATCCTTTTCTCAAAGCCCACCTTTAGCCCCCCATGAGAACTGTCACTTTGTGGGAGTCCAGACAGAATTCCCCGATATCGTACTTGGAAGGCCACAAACTAAAGAAAAATGCAAAGACACTTCAGGGCCAGCGCTTTGCTCTGGAAAGTCTATTTCCAAACCAAGCAGCCTGCCAGCCATTTGCCCCCCACCTCCTGGTTTTGTGCCAGGGCAGGAGATGCAGGACGCTGGAGCCTAGATGTTGCAGCAGGAAGGGGGTTAAGGGTGGCACTGCCACACCAGGAGCTCATAGAGTGAGGGTGGAGCTGTAAGTGCAGGGGCCTTAGGTCTTCTCACAGCACCATCACGATTGCCCTAGAAGTGAGAGCATTTGTTTTGTTTTGTTTTCTGTTTTTTAAAGATTTATTTATTTATGCATACAAGAACTGGGATGTAGGCCAGAGGTGTGGGGGGCGGGGGTAAGTGGATTCACCAGAGACAGAGTGGGGAGCAGAACAGGTGGTTTGACTGAAACACACTGCTGAGGGGAGCAGCAGGAGAGATAGGAGAGGTCTGCTGCGCCATGGGTCAGCAACCTGGCCGGGAATTCAACTCGTGCTGCAGAGGCTGCAGACAGCTTCATAGTGAGGTACTTAACCCCTTGCACCAGCAGGAAGGTCCCAGGGAGAGCATTTGTGACCCCCCCACTTCATAGATGAGGAAAAACTGGCTGCCCAGAGACACAGTGGAAGCAGCCTCACACCCATCACTAATAGTTAGTAGGAGTAAGCCGCTCAGAGCACACAGAAGCGCCTGGAAAGGGGGACCAGCTGGGCGAGTTTTGAAGCCAGGGTTTAGAAAGAGAAGGTCCAAGAGTACAGGGACCCCAGGTACAGGGGTCACTGGAGGAGGCTGGAAACAGACCCTCTCATTGGTGGTTCTGGGTGGGTTGCTGCCCCTCACCTGCTCCCAAGGGAGACCCCGGGGCCCGAGATGGGAGGGCAGGGCTTCTGGAAGAGCTGGTTCTTAACTGATTTGGGGACTGGAAGAAAGGGGCTGTAGGTTTTACCTTTCTCTTTGAGGCATCGATCCTTTGAGAATCCAGCAGAGCCGCAGACCCTCTTCTCAGAGAAAGGTACGGGGAACCCAGCAGTGTTAAGGTTCGCAGATTGCAGAAGCCCCCCCACGCCCGGGTGAGAGCCCCAGACTTTTAACAGAGGGGTGTGAAACGGGGACAGACAGGAGCGGCCGCTTTGTCAGGCTTGTGCTCTCACGGGGAACCAGGTCCTCTAGGGGGTGTCCAGGCCTCCTGGTGTGGTGCCCACGGGACTGCGGCCCAGGTTTGTCTGTGCCCCAAGCCTCTCTTGCCTCATTCTCACTGGATGAATCAAGATTTGACCATTGAAGGCCACCCAGAACCCTCCACTCCACCCACCACGCACAGTAGGTGCCACCTCTTCATGCTTTCAGCCTGGAAAGAAGGCTGACCATTCTGGAAGTGTGAGCCCCATGCCGGCCGGAAGGTGCAGCAACCTGCATCATGACGACCAAGACCAAGGAATCCCGCAGCCCGAACTCCCCACACCTCGCCTGCACCCCGCAGCGGGTTCCAGCCAGCGCCCAGCCCCTACCCTCACTCTGGCCTCCGCTGTATCTGGTCAGCCTCGGTACCAGCCTGCAGCAAGGACAAAAAGCCAACCACGCCGCTGCACACCCCACCTCCTGAAACAGCCCACAAGGGGTCAAGTCCCTTTGCTTTTCCAGAGGATTCACTGCATGGCCCTGTGCACAGTAGCCGGAGTATGGAAGCAACGAAAGTGCCCTCTGACAGGGGAGCGGATCAAGGTGGGGTCTAGCCACACGAGGGATTATTCAAATATAAAGATGTTGACAGCAAAATGGAAGGAGCTCGAGGGAATATCCACAGCAAAGTGAGCCAGAGAGATAAAGACAGATGTCCGCTGCACACACAGGAGCAGCGTAAGGACACACAGCAGATGAGCTGGTGCAGCAAAATAATCATACACCAGCAGACACTGAACATCGAACTGAGGTTTCTGAGGACAAGAGATGGGGTGAGGGGCATAAGGGGACAGGAGGAGAAGTCACGGAAAGATGATTTAAAGTAATTAAAAAGTAAAGCAAAACTGACCAGCTCTCCCCGACCTGGTCAAGGTAAGGAGGGCCACGTTTGCTGTGGAGAGGACCTTTGTGGCCACCCTGAGTAGGTGGCCACTGAAAGGTGCAAACGGCCTTTTGTCATCACCGGTCAGCCTGGACCCTCCCTGAAGCCATCAGCCGGGGTGCAGGAGACGGCTGGAAGAGGTGCAGGAGACGGCTGGAAGGGGCCTGGCCAGCTGTGAGCGCTGGGTCACAGGGTCGTGCCTGACATCCGAGCGCACACCCTGGGAGGCACAGCTGGGGGTAGATTACAGAACAGTATACCTGTGATGATGCAGGTATCTCAGCTTTTACCTACCTGGAGATACCTGCTGGGAGGAAGAGGCTGGTTACCTGAGATGCAGGTATCTCAGCCTTTACCTACCTGGAGATACCTGCTGGGAGGAAGAGGCTGGGTGTAGGCAGTGGTGGACGAGGCCATCAGAGCCAAGCCTGCTCCACCACAAAAAGCCCAGCGATTTTGAAGAAATCTTTTCAGCTCCAGAACAGGCTCAGAGCCGGGAAAGTTCAGGGACAGTTCATGGGGCTCCAGAGAGGTGGGGAACCAGGGCTGAGGTTCACCTACCAAAGGGGGCCTCCCCTGCTCCCACCCTGGCATTCAAAGACGAGGCCAAAGTTTTTGAAAAATATAAAATTTTAATAAAGGCTACATCTCTTAATTACAATAATTATTGTACCATGTAATTTTCCTTAAATGAACTCTTTATAATGCATAATTTACAGTATAAGTAGAACAAAATGCCATGGCAAAAGTCAGAGTATAAGACTTGTAATAAAAGGCATAAAATATATTTATACATAAACCCCTTTCAAAAAACAAGGGACAGCTTGAGCCCTCAATATAGGGCGACACACGGCGGGGTCCGTGCAGGTACAGGTACTGTACTGATTTAAGTCAAGCACTAGAGATAGTGGATTAATACTCTTTTGCCGTACGATATATACAGACGTATAGTACAAGGAACAAGGGCAAACAGAATGTACACATTAACTTAACACAAAAACCCGAACGTCAAAATGAAGGGGTCTGGAGGAAAGGGTGCTGCTAGGTCTTCCCACAACTGCTGGCCTCTCTGCGGGGCAGGGGGCTGGATTACAGAACGGCTGTGGTCCAATGATCCATTAAAAACCAAAAAAAAAAAAAAAAAAAAAAAAAAAAAAAAAAAAAAACCTCAAGAAACTCCAAGGACCTGTTACTTCAATCACAAAGCACAAGCGTGAACCACAAGGAGCCAGCCGGCCTTGGCCACTGCGTGGGGGGGCCTCGCTGGCTGGGAGCTCCGGGAAGCTACAGGATGACTCTGGGCCCCCCTCCCCAAGAATGCTCCCCACCCCACCACACCCTCTGCTACCACAATGGATGCTCCCGGCTTACATGGCAACCCCCAAATGGCGGTCATGTGGCAACCCAAGTCAACCCTCAAGACCCTGAGCAGCCTAGAAAGAAAAATGCACCGATTCTGGCTGATGGTGGGGCAGCATCTCAAAAAGCTTATCTTCGCTTGGAGAGACACGGGGCACGATTCTTCTTTGAACGAAGCAATCACGAGTGCACTCCTAGCTCAGCTCCTAAGTTTAAGACAGAACGATTACCTTCTCTTCCCCTTCCGTGTTCCAAGCAGCATATCCATAAACTGGGGGTGGGGGAATCAATTGTTCAATAAATATCAGTAAGGATTCCTGTCCAGGTAAGCTATACAGTTTCTTAGTTTATGGATTTCAGAGCCCTAGGAAGTCCTCTGTGATGAGGGCGGCCTCTTGAGTACAGTCTGCACCTCCAATCGCCAAGAGTGGTCATGGTTGTAATAAATAGTTCAGCCTTTTCTTATCCCAGTACCCAGCTCGTGAGTCATGAAATCCGACCTCCCCCCACCCTCCCGAAGGCCCAGGGGCCCCAGACTGTGTCTTCTTCATTGGTTTAGTTTTCCTTCAACATGTTTCTGTGGCGGCCGCTTGGGTCCGAGCCCGTGGCGTGGGCGCTGGCGTCCTCGGCTCCCGAGGCTGGGCCAGAGGCTCAGTCGATCCGCTCCACTTTCCCCAGGATCCTGCCTTCATACATCGGGAGCACCGTCTCGTCGTCCCAGACCTCCTCAAACACAGCCCCACAGGCAAATTCGTCGCTTGCTTTTTTGAAGTAATACCTGAGAAGGAAAAGCAAAAAGAGCACTTTGGTAAAACCACATCTTGGAGTCTGTACAGAGGATGTCGACCCCGAGGACCAAGGTCCAGAGAATTCTGCGACAGCCAGTGGCCGATCAGCCTGTGCCTGGGACTGAAGAGGGGGCTCAAGTGGGCAGGCCTCGGGTCACTCGGGAGGCCAGCTGGGCACCCGGGGAGCTGCAGCATGGAAGGGTGTTTGCTCTGGGGCTGCTGTCTGCTGCCCAGATGTGCTCGCTGTCACCTGACACATGACACTGAAAAGCACAGCTGGCGGAGGTGAGAGCGGGGAGACTTCTTTCTCTGCCTTTTACAGGAGGGGGTGGGAGGAAGGGCAAAGCATGTGTGGGGTTCATTTGCTACAGCGGCCACAGCGGGAGGAGGAGGCCCTCAAAAAGACATGGACTCAGCCATCCTGGGCTTGGAGAAGTCTGCGGGAGGCGCTTCAACCAGCCCGTTAGTCCGCCCCGACACCTGGTCCTTCCCACCCTCCGTATCCGAGGGGGCAGGTGCCTGGCAGGGCCACAGGGTAGGGGTGGGGCGGTGTAGAGCCTGCAGAGGGCAGGCCAGCCCAATCTCGCTCCCCAGGCAGCAGACAGCTCAGGCCCCATCCTGCTCTGCTCTGCTCGCCCAGCTACCCCTCCCTGGTCAGACAGTAAAGGCCGGTCTATTAAGCCCTTAGATTAAAGGTTCCTTTTATCCCACCCGGCCTCCTTTCTTCTAAGGCAATTTAATTGTACGGACACAAATGATGGGCCTTTCTCAGGGGAGCTGCTTTCGGAAACAAAATTAAGCAAAGGCCTCTTTCTTCCCTGTCCCCAGCAAGGGTGACACCCCGGTGGGTCGCCCTCAGGCCTGCAAGCTGTCATCTGCGGCCCGTGCGACCAGAGAGGGTCCGCCTCAAAGATGTCACAGTGTCTCAGGCTAACGTGGTTTTTTTTTTTTTTTGCTTTTCTCTTAAAAAAGAAAAAAAACTCCCCTTGGTTAAGAGCTAAATTTTTTTCTTCCTTAATGAAGGCATGCCAAATACTTTCATAGGAGATAAGGCTAAATAAAGTGAAACAGCTGGGTTTAGTCAAGGTTCTTTGTTTTGAGCATTCCAGCAGGGCTGAAATGCTGGGGTGACCAGCATTGCTCCAATGGGTCAGTGGTGGAAATGCTCCATATCGAGGGGGGATGCCTGGGGCTGGGGGTTCGGGAGGAGATAACGGGAGAGGCGCCGGGCAGCGGAGAGGTGGGCCATGGGAAAAGTCACTTTTCCAAAGAAGAGGCTCAAACCTAGTGGCCATCCTCAGCCCCCCTGAGCCCCCAGCTCCAAAGCCCTGGGCTTCGCTGGGTCGGACAAACACGCCATGGCCTTTCACACGCTGCAGCCTCCTCCAGAGAGGAGCAAGGCAGTGCTCCCTCGGCCCCACCCCCGAGACTTCAAACACGCAGCGCTGCCCTCATTTTCTCCAAGAAACGGGCTTTTCCGCTGCAACATGCTTTCTGTGGCAAACTCTGCTTTCTTCTGACATCTGGCACCAATAGCGTCTGGCACGTCTGGAGGGGCCGCTCTGCTTCTGAACCTGTGCCATGTTGAGATTACTCAATGTGGTCTCCCTGCCCCTCGCTGGCCTTGTCACGGGGGGCTGCAGGGGGGCCAAGTGAGCACCCACCCTGCCGGGCAGGCGAGGCCTGACGCCCTGTGTCCTCCCTGGCCCAGGAGGATGCCGCACCCAGCTCCAGCCTGGTGAGCCAGGCAAGCGAGTGAGATAAGGCGGCTGGGAAGGGCCTTGCCACAGCCTGATCCAATCAGCCAAGAATTTGAGAGTGGGCCATTTGTGAGAGTCTTTGTGCATGAAAGAGGAGGCCGGAGCTTCAAAGCCAGGCTTATTAAGTGTGCCTTAGGAAAAAAAAAATCAGAGCCAGATGTGGCCAGAGTGGTGGAGCAAAGAACCTCCCCAGCAGCCTCTCTGCTCAGTGCTCGTGGCCCTTCTCCCCTGAAGGTCACCTGAAGGTCACCTGCCGTTCCACTAAGTCCTGCTAAGTCCAGCCGAGTCAAAGCTGAGATCAAAACGAATCCCTGGAGGGGCACACTTGGGTAATTAGTTTCATCTTGTGTCTCCATGATCACCAAAAAACCCACAGAAGCAGCAGCAGCTGCAGTGCAGCCAGGCCTGGTCCTCAAAGGCTTTGATACCTTTCAGAGTGGCCCCTGCCCAGGTGTAAAGGGAGAGATCTAAGCCGGCTCCACACCCAGCTCATCAGTCACCCACAGGGTCGCAGCCTGAAGCCCGTCCCTCTGCCTGCGAAGGGCTGCTTGGGGCCTCAGTCGCTCCCAGGGGAGGCAGCCAGGAAAGCCTGCACTAGAAAGGGGGGGGGGGCGGGTCTCAGACCTGCAGGTGGACAACCCGGGCCCAGGAGCCGATGCCCACCTGGCAGGGGGCTAGGTGTGATCAGAGCCTCCACTCCATGCCTGGTTCATGGCGGGAGGGGTTGGATGCTGTGCGTGGGGACATCTCACTCCCTTCTCCTTCCCCTGGGCCTGCACACCGCACCCGAGATGTAACTAACTGGCCCATGGAGAGGGGCAGGCTGGACTCTGGAAGCATCACCTGCCCCAAGTTACAGGGAAAGTGACCAAGAAACAGCCCAGCGCCCCTGCTTGCTCTCAGTCTCGTCCACCGGGCAGCAAAAGCTGGGCCAGGTCCCCAGAGCCCTCCCGGGGCTGCTGCCCTATTTCTCTGGGTAGTGGGGGAAGGAAAGGGTGTGAGCAAGACCAACGCCTCCCAGAGTGCCCCGAAGTCCCCCCCTCCTGGCCCCTCTCTGGTCGCAAGCCAGGGAAGCAATTCTGGAACTTGGTTCTCAGCAAATAAGCTCCGGAGCAGGACGAAACTGCAGCACTCTTACCTATAATTTCCCTTTTTGCTGAGCTGCTCTTTAAAGTGGCCCAGGGTCAGGCTCTGGGCCTTTAGCATCCTCCTGTATGGAATCTCTTCTCCGCAGAAAAAGTAAGTGACGACCAACTCACTGGCCTGGAGCACGTGGACACCCGCCAGCTTCTTTGGCTCTTTGTGGCTGAAAAGAAGGACGGGACATGTTCAGCATGTGAAGGCAGCACATGCATGTACACACGCATGCGCACGCACGCACACAGAGGGTGGGGTGGGGGCAAGCTCTCCAAACACCGTCTCTAGAGATCAAGTGAGGTTGCAGCTGTAAGCACAAAGGGGTACAGCACCCCAGATCACAGGGGCAGCCACCTCGAGGGGGATATGTCCAACATCTGATTTGTGTGGAGCACCCAGGAAGCGAGAATTCCCAATTGCTGGGACAGAAAACAGGTGGTACAGAGCAGCCTCTTTCAGGCTGGCACAAGTGGGGTGCTCCCCAGTCAAGATGAGAGGAGACACTCTCACAGAGCCCGGGGACCCGGCCATCGGGCAGTGCCACAGATGCCCACAGGGCATGAACTCGATGCCACAGGCCCTGGTGGGCAGAGCCCGCACTCACTTCTGACTGCCTGATTTAGTCTGAATTTTTGTGGAGTGACTTAAAAAAAAAAAAAAAGCTGCAGGTCAGGACAGCTGGCAGACTGAAGGTCAACCAATTCCAACAAAGGGCCCAGGGCAGGGGCTGATTCAGAACTGCAAACCCAGCTCACTGACGAAGATGAAGGGGCCACAGAAGCAAATTTTCATTATTTAGACCATTTTCAGTCTCTGTCACAGCCTGCCTTTCATACGCACCATCCTGAGATTAAACTGAGCCCGGGCGCTCTGTCCGCTCTGCAGGCGCGAAAATTAACAGAAACAATTGTGCCGGGATGGGGAAGGACAGTCTGCTTCCTCCAAGCCAAGCAAGGCCGCCCTCTCCCTCCCCAAGTCCGCGGTGGTGGACCGTCGCCCTCCGGCTAGTGACAGGTTTGCAAGCAAATGGGGACAACTTATATGCACTTTGGGGTCCCTTCATCCCCCTGCTATCGGCTTCCCAGCCCCGTCTGCATGAACGCGCTGGGAGCCCTGAGCCTGCATCCCTTGGGAAGGAGCCCTGGGCACGGGTCTCAGCGCCTGGCTCGGCCCAGGCGGGGTTGGCAAGATCCGAACTGCCGGTTCTTGTCACAAGCGGCCAAGTCAAGGTGATTGCATAGGCTAAAAAAATGCTTTCCAAAAACACAACTCCAGAGAGTGAACGCAAACCGCCGGGCGGGTCTCGGTGAGGCCAGAGACACTCACTCTTCTGAAGCCGGGCTTGGGTCGGAGGAGGGCGTGGCTCCTGTCTGGCCAGTGGCCGAGGGGGTCCTGTCCCTCTGCTGACTGGCCTCGCAGCACCTGAGGACACAGCCGAAGGATTCAGAGGTCAGCCTGCTGCCCCCGGGACAAACGGGGAGCAGCCAGACACGACTCCCAAGGAGACACGGACCCCACTCCCACCCCTGGAGACCCACCCGGGTCCTGGGGGCCTGGCGGCTCTAGGCGGGGACCTCTTGGAAACAGGGACCCCGAACTCCGGGGGAGCCCAAGCCAAGGGAGGGTGCCCGTCGGCGCTGTTTTCTCCCAGGCTCGTCTAACAAATGAGGCCAACAGGACATCAAGGAATGAGACTTGTCAGCAGTGACTGAAACTCAAACTCCTACTTCTGCACAGTTTGCCCAACTAGCGGATCCTGGTTAGCTCCTCAGAAGAAACACAACTAACGGGAACGAGTTCTAGTGGCTGGAAAGGGCTGTGGCCAGGAGCACCTCCTCTTCCCCGGGGCGGGGGGAGAGCCCCGGGCAGAAAAGGGCCCCCTCCAGCAGCAGGCCGGCCTCGCCTCCCGCCTCCCTGCCCGCCACTCACCGCTGCTTCGAGGGCTTCGACACCTCGGTCAGCCTGCGGCAGGCCTCCTCCAGCTGCGCCAGGGTGTTGGGTGGGGCCAGGGGAGGCATTGCAGGGTCCTGGGTGAGCGGGTGGGCGCGGGGGGCGGTGCGGGGGTGCCCGCTGCTGCCGCCCCACAGATGGTGCCGGCCGGCTCGCTCGGCGGGGGACGCGCGGGCGGACTCCGAGGGGTAGGCCTTTTTGGCGCTTTGGACACTGAACAGGGAACGAGGAAAGAGCAGCAGAAGGAAAGAAACTGGGTTAGAAAAACTGGAAATTGTGACTTCAATAGAAACTCCTCTACCCTGCCTTCAGAGGGCGGGGAAAAATCACTCTAACACGCACAGGGGCGTTGCCAGAGCCTGGCATTTTTGTGGTCTGCTCAGCCCAGCGCTTAATATTAAGATGGCAGGAGCCACGGCCAAGCTGTGCCGGCCGCCTGCAGGCACCGCCGAGCCCGCCACCCGCGGTGGTGCTGCCCGCGCCGGAGGCAGGGGCTTACCTAGGGGGCTTGTTCTGCTGCCCGCACTCAGGCATCCACTGCCAGGCATCCTGTGACCTGTCTCCTGCCTTCCCCGGGAGCTGCGGTGCCCCTACTTCTTCCCTGGAGGGCAGGGCTGTGCCCGCTTGGTGCCTGTCCCATTCCACCCAGGCAGGGTGCTGCTTCTGCTGCCACTGCGGGGAGCCCAGAGCCACCCAGAGACCCACTACATCTCTGGGCCTCCAACTGCACAGGTGGCAAGCTGGGGGGCGGCTCGAGAGACCCAGGCTCCTGGCACTGGCACCCCCGCCTCCCCGACCCGGGCCTCCCTCCTGGAACCTGAACGCTGGGACCCCACCTCACACCTGCCCCGAGAGAAGACCCCGCCAGCGCCAAGGCCGCCTGACACTTACGCGAGCTGCTCCACGGGCACGGGCTCGGGTGCCTTGGGGTGGCTCTTGCACTTGGGGTAGCAGTAGTACTCGGGGCCCCAGGGCAGAAGCAGCGCACCCTCTGTGCGGCCTCCACCTCGATCTCTTCCTTGGTCTTGGGGAGCGCGTGGTGGTGGATGTAGTGGTGGTGGACGTGCTTGGTCATCTGCTTGGTCACGAAGCCCTTGGCTCCGAGGAGGGGGCAGCCGGTGGACGAGGGCGCCGCGGAGGGCAGCTTGCCCGCGGCGGGGAGCAGGGGGTGGTACTGCTGCTGGTGGTGGTGGTGGTGGTGGTGGTCCGGGGAGCGGGAGCGGGGGCTGTAGCGGCCCAGACCCGGAGACTGGCAGCCGGGGGTCTTGAGGACCCTGGACAGGTGGTCATCCAGGATGGTCTGTGGGTCCTCCTCATAGCTGCTGGAGGGCAGCAGGGAGAGGGCGTGCTGGGCGGGGCCCCCTTCCCTGGAGCTCAGCGCCAGCTCAGAGCCCTCCTTCTCTTCATCCTGGAAGGGAAGGCCGCAGAAGGGGAGTGATCTGGGAAATGAGAGGCCGCCCTCGCCAAGGGAGGGGCGGCGCCATCTTGCAGAGGTGGCACCTCCCAGTGCCAGCCGGGGAGGGGGAGGGGCCGCGCCAGCACTACCTCTCGGATCTGCTGCAGCCGCTCCTCCAGGCTGTGCCGGCTCTCCATCTCCATCTTCAGCTTCAGCAGCCTGGTGATCAGCTGCGCCGCGAAGGTGGCGGGTTCCATGGGGGTCATCTCCTTGGGCAGGCGGTGGGTTCTCTGCGGGGCGCGGGGAGGGAAGAGCAGCGAGTGTCAGCCGGGCCGAGCCGGGCTGCGGGCTGCGGGCGGGCAGAGCACACTGGTCGCCACGGCCCGTGCTGCTGCGGAGCTTTATGCAGCGGCACCGCGGCCTCATGGAGCGCCATGGCCTCCGCGGCGCTTGCCTTGGGCAGGAGCAGTTGGTCGCACTCCGAGAGGCCAGGCTTGTTCTCTCTGTAGTACAACCAGCCCATCAGTAGCTACTCTGAAGTAGAAAATCTTCAAAGACTGTTGTCAAACATCAAAAAAAAAAAAAAAAAAAGGCAGCCCTCTGAGGGGGGAGGGGGGAGGCCAACTCAAGGAATCAAAAATAGAGTCTAAACAGAAAGGGAGCTGAAAATTAAAAAAAAAATAAGATTGGAAGGGAGGTGGGGGTGCAGGTTGGGGGGGGAGAGAAGGGGGGAAAGGGGAGTCAAACGGCCTGGATCAGAAGACGTGGTAATTTATTTCCTGGCCGCACACTGTGCACCTTTGAGGCGGTGTTGTCTCAACACCGCCCTGGATCTCCCTCGCTTTCCTCCACTCCCTCCTCCCCGGCTCTTTGTACAGAAAATGAAGAAAGCTGCTGCGGGCTAGTGGCAGAACACTGCTGAGTCTGGCTGCCTGCAGCCGATCTATCAAGGGAGAAGGGAACATCTCCAAATCAAGTGCAGAATATAAAGAGGCGCAGGGACGCCTGCCAAAAGCAGCAAACAGCGGACCCCCACGGCCGCCGCTGCCGCTCCTGTCCGCTCGCCCCCCCACCTCCCACCTCCCTGGCGCTCTGCCGCCTCCTTCCTGCTCTCCCTCTGGCTCTGCTCCTCTCCTTGGGGTGGGGAAGGGGCAGGAGAAAGCCCACCTGCAAAGGCCAGCACGGCCCCCGGATGCACCGGCTTCACCAGGGCAACCACTGTGCGGGGGGCGAGAAAGGGCCCCCCCATAGGAGATGGGGTCCTCACATGCTCTGGGCAACGCCCCCCACCCCTCCTTCAAAGCACTGCCTGATGGAGAAGTCCGTGGTGAAATCATCTCATTTACCAGCTTGGGCACCAGGACCTTATCAATGTGCCTACCACCCACTTATTGCCCCAGTGCAAAAGAAAATTATATATATGCAAACATTAAATTGCCAGTACTGTTGTATTTGGGGGGCCTGCTGGAAGTCCCCAGAAAGGCAATGTTAATATGCTCATTTTATGACAAGTTTAAGTCTGCCTGGGACTCTGAGTGGACCTTCGAAGGGGATCGGCCCCAGCAGCAGTCGGCACACAGGTAAGACGTGGGGTTGGCGTTTCTACACGCAACATATCCGAAGGCCCCACTGGGTCGCCGACTCTGGTGGGGAGGAGTCAGGCCCTGGGTGCCCGCTGTGACCGGGCACTCACCCCGCCCTGAGCATCAGCTTCCTGGCAGCTGGGCCTCAGAGTCCTGCGAGAAGCCTTACTCTCGGAAGGGAACATGCCGGGGGTGGGGGGGGGTCCCGAGTACTGGCCACGTGCCGCCTGCCCCCCCTCAGGGCTTGGGAATAGAAGGGGAGGCCCCAGAAAAATCCCTCACACCAGGCTGGCCCCTCCTCTCAGTCACAGGAAGAGCTGATCCAAACACTTCATTCATTCTGCATTTATTAGGTGCAGCTTCAACAGCAGGTACCTGGCCAAGTTCTGGGGTTGGAAAGAGACAAGTCGGAACAATTGCCCTCCAGGGCCTCAGAAGTCAGCGGGAGAAACGGCCAAGTAAACAGATAAAAGGACGACAGCAAGGACCAAGCTGTGCCGTCCACACACCATGGGCAGGGGCCTCTCAAAGGAGGCAGACATTCCTCTGGCCTCGTTCGTTCACATAATTGACAGGCATTTATTAAGCACCTACTATGTGCCAGGCCCTGTTCTGGTTTCTGTGGATATGGGTGTTAACCAAAGAGACAAAACTGTCTGCCCTTGGGGGGACTCCATCAAGTGGAACCCCTGTTTGAGGCAAGGCCAGTCCCTTTGCCCTTCTAGGTTGCTGGGAAGGAACTGCTTTGGTTTTCTTGTCACAGAGTTGCAGACATGCACGGGTTCAAGCAGGCTCACCTGGGCTGTTTAAACACAGGACCCTGCTCAAGGTCACATGCCAAGGAGCCAAGCAAAGGCCTCCTGTCCATGCTTCTCTTCCCTCCTGTCCCCGAGTGGACCCCGGGCACCCCTCCTGGTCCCTTCCTCTTCAGGACTCCACCAGGCTGAATATGACCCCCTCCCACCTCCCAAATGTACTCACCGGAAAATGAGGTAGAGACACTTGGCCATTGGCCTTGACGCTGCGATGCATTTCTCTCTGGAGCTGCTTCTTACTCCCCACGCGGTAAGGAGGGATTCCATCTCTAAGGGGAAGGAGAGGACATCACGCTCAGGGGCTCGTGAGGAGGCCGTCAGCACAGGGCTGACTCACAAGCCCTCCCGAGCCCCTGCCAGCCGCCGGGCCACACGCCTCTCCGGGAGCGCGCCGCCCGGCCCGGGCGCCACGGCTGTTCCCATGGGGAAAGCGCAATCCAAGGCCAGATTGCCACACGTCCTGCCCATCAATCATCTCGGGAGGCCTGGCTCCCTCTCAGACACAGGAATGTCAGCTTGGAAAGAGCCCCTGTCTTGGGTTGTTGTTTTAGAGCCCTGAGCGAAGGCTCCCATTTCACAGGTGCCCCCAGCAGGAGACGGATTCTGAGGGTGTCCTCCCCAACCGTCTGTGATGGCCACAGCAAAGCGCTCCGAATCAGGAAACCAGGGCCTCACGGGCCATGCCAGGGGCAAGTGTTTCGGGTCTGGGACCGAGCCAGAGGGCAAGCCAGGCAATGGTGAAGGTCAGGGTGATTCTCCCACAGTCCACCTTCCAGTCACTTAAAGAGAGAGCCCCCTACTATGTGCCACTCATTAAAATATTTAGGGGCCTACTGTGTGCCAGAGCTTGTTCTAAGCACGGAGCAAAAGACATTCAACGAAGGGGATAAAAATGCGACGAGATGGACCGTGTACCCCCATGGGAAGGCACAATGGGAAAAATTTAAAAGCAAAACCTGTAGTAAGTAAGAAGGTGGTAAGGACGACACTGAGATACACTGCAGGAGGGGGGAGGGAGGGGGTCACAGGGTGGGGGTGGGGGCGTTGATGAAGTGTTCCTGAGAAGGTCACCTTTGGGCAAAGATCTGGGGCGGTGTGGGGCCCTATCCTTCTTCATATTAAGAGAAAAATAAGTTAGTGGAAAAGTTTAAGGAAAAACCCTTCCACTCCCACAGGCCTTCACTAAAAACATGACCTAGAGTTGCTATGATATTTTGAAAGAGTTTGTTCTTGAAAGCAGCTGAGCGGCCAAGGTGTGACCCTTCCCACAGATGTCCCTTCCGGAGGCCACTTTCTAACCAAAGTCTCCGTGTTCAAACATTCATACACTGAATCATGCTCGGAGGCTGCAATTATTGAAACTGTTCGCCTGTTTCCCTTTTCCTGGTGTTTTTTTGCTCGTCATAGGTTGGGAGGAAGGGAAACAACTCTGGCTCATCGGCTGTGGGTGGAAATCAGCGCTGCCTAAGACACCTGGGCGCGGCCAGGGTTACCTGGCTGACCTCCCGTGCCTTATCTAGAATGACCCATAACTGTAAGTGGCTGCCGTTTTCCGGAGCTCCACTGACCTAGGCCAGAGACGAGGGCAGCTGATGGGAGGACGCAGGTCATAGTAGCTGGACATGTCCATCTGTGTTAGCCAGACCTTGGCTAGGCCCACGGCAGGCGATGGTCGAGGGCCCAGGGGGAGAAGAGAGAGCACACTGGGTGCCCATCCCAGGGAACGGCTAGCCAGGGGTCAGGGCCAACGGCCACTGTGGGGAGCTGGTCAGCTGACCAGCCCAAGGCGAGGACAGGACTACTCCTCAGGCTGAGGACAGCCCACCCTCAAAGGCCAGGAGGGATCCAGGTTCTCCATCCAGAAATGGACGGAACCACCTGCAGCTTATTTTCCAAAACTCAACGTTTTCACCTTGGGAGAGTTTACAAGACACCAGAGAAGCCCCAGTTCTCACCAGCATGCCTGGCCTGACCAGCAGCCAAACTCCACCGGGAGTGACTGCTCCAGCCCAGGGCGGCAGCCCCCGCGTCCAGCCTCCCTGCTGGGGTGGACAGGCCTGACGCACGGGGATCCCCTCCATCCCCAAGCCCAGTGGACTCCAGACAGGTGCCCCCATCCCAGACCTGACAGGGGGGGCCCGGCTTCGCAACAACCTGGTCATGGGGGTGCCACTGCCCCTGACATGCTCGAAAAGTCAATGGGAGATTTGCCCTCCTGGCAAGTCCTCCCCACTCAGTACTCACTGGTTACGGGTGTGCCACGTGGTTCAAGAGAGAGTGGGTGCCCCATTTTCAGACCAAAAATGTCACCTAAAGTCTGGGGGGCTCCCACAGCCTGGGTCTCCTGTTGGCCCGTGCTGCTGCCCACAGCCGTGAGTGTCCATGCCACCTTGGCCTGAGCAGCAACTCTCCCGGAGACACTTGGGAAGAGTTGCTGGCTCTGCTCTGGCCTCTTCCCAGCAATCTTGGGGGGCAGGAGTCAAGTAGCCCATGGACCCCGGGAGAACCCTGTCACCCTCTCTAAGACTGTCCTTATCCATGGTCAGACTTTTATACTTTTTCTTTTTCCATTCAAGGCAGAGGAAGAAAAAGAGAGTGGGGTGAGGTTGGTATATAGACATGAAAGGGGGCGCAGGGAGCAGGTCACTGACAGATTGAAGAGTTACAGATCATTTTAAGCCCCTCCTCCCGCAGCCAACCAACACATGCCCCGCTGCCCCCGGGGGCAGGTGAGTGACCAAGGGCAGGAAAATGACCAGGGCAGAGAGGGGGAGCTTAGAGTTCGCTGAGACTCAGAAAGGCTTAACAGGCGCCTTCAAGGAAATGTGGTTTCCATTCCAGCCCCCCCCCCTCCTCCAGCCAAGAATCTTCTTCCAAAACAGCCCCTCATTCCAAGAGGAGGCCTCTCTTCTTTTTATTTAGCCTCTAAAAGTCTATGATCAGTTTCCTGGCTGCTCAGAACTGTGAGCTGAAGAGCGCCAGAGCCTGGGTCCCTATACGGTCTCCTTTAATTATAAACATTTTAGCTAACGAGAGCCCGCTGCCGGGCCCAGCTGTTTCTGGGGAGCACGGGTTTTGAAGTGTGGACTCCACTTAGCTGCCATTTAAGCCGAGCCAATTAGCTTAGCCTTTTGACTCCGCCGTGCCCAGCCGAACCTGAGTGGCGTTTTCCGGGTGCTTTGAAATAGCAGACCCCGCACATGCACCCACGCGCATTTTCATTTGGCGGCTGCTCTGAAGGCGGCCTCTGATCACTGCCGACATCAAACGCCTGGTTTGTAAGATAAGGTGATATTTGAAGTTCACGCAGATGCTTTCCCTGGTGTCCAAAGCCAGCCCATAAATAAGACATAAGGAAATAAAAATAAATAAACTAGCCCATGCCATACTCTGTGTGAACTGCAGGGGCTGCACCTTGCATACATTTCGGGGCCTCCAGAGCATAAGCCACCTATGGTGCAAGCTGCTCCCCCTAATGCAGAAGAGCAGAAGAGGCCAGGCCCCTGGCTAGTGACTGAGCCCCACTATCCCAGGTCTCCCCATGGGGCAGCTACACTTGGGCCACAAAGGCCCTGTAGTTTGTGATATCTGGGGGTATGGAGGGCCCCAGTTTCATCCTCCTGGGGCTAATGCCTGGGAATGGCCCTGCAATGCTTCTGCCCCCAGCACACTAAGGATTGGGGTTTATAGGCCTTTGCTGCAAGTCTGGTAGCTAACTTTGCAGGAAAAAAAAAAAAAAAAAAAAAAAAAAGAAGCAGCCATTTCTTCCGAGAACGCATGTTTCAGAGTAACAGGCTCGTAAAACAGCCTTCTCGGAGGCCCGCTATGAAGACCCAAATCCCCAGCCATCTTTTACAGGCCTTCTGACTTCACGGGAAAACAGAAGTCAGTGTTGGCTGTGGGAAAAGGCAACGGTTTCTTTAAAGCCCCTGCCTAGGTACCTCCAGGCCCAGAGCAGCTCCCTGCAATCACCAAGTGCAGGGCCCTCGCCTGACTCCTACCCAGGCCTCCTGGCCTCTTGCGAAGGCCCCGGGGACTTAATTGGTTCTGTCGCAAACGAGAAGATTGCCTCCCCGGCTTGTGTCTAATGAACTCCAACCTTCTGGAGTCTATTGAAGGCCGCCTGTGACCTCCCACTCCCCTTCCCCGCTGCCTCTGCCCTGGACTCCCAGCAGCGCAGCCGCCCTGCGCCCCAGCCCCGCCCTGCCCCCGCCCAGCCCCACCGGCCATTGTGACCAGGAGAAACAGCCAGGGCTCTTTTCATGCTTTATGGGGCGCTCCTATTCACTTGTTCAAGGAAATTTCAAAGGGGCCTGCTACCCTCTTATCCCCTCTAAGCTTCCCCGGATGAACAATGGGCTGAAAGCGATTCAGTTCAGCTTTTCATCCCCCACACACTTTATTTCTCGCTAGGCTCTCTCATCTGTGCGAGGCCCACAATTGGCAGAGCTCTGAAGAGGGGTCTAATCCCAGCCCTGGGAATCCCAGGAGACCCGCCTGACCCTGGGCTCACCACAAGCACCCCAGGCCAGCTGACCAGAGGGGGCTGGCTCAGCCAGGGCTTTCAGCCCACAAGGCTGTCAGGCAGCAGAGCAGGGAGGCCCCAGGGACCCCCAGTGGTGGGCACCCCACGATAGCTTGAGATGCAAAGACACCTCTAAGTCCCAACATACATCCCATCTAGTGGGCGCTTGGTCTGGAGACCTTGGATGCCCCCCCATAGGTAGCATGAGGCAAACAGCCCTGGACAAACAGCTGCCAGGGGTGGACAGGCCTGTGCTGATGAGATGTACTCCCAGGTGGTATAAATATGTGGCGGCCCACTGCGATGGCCGGCTCTGAGGACCTGCCCATGTGGTAAGGCACCCAGGACTCTGAGCCTCCCAGGTGCACCCTCTCGGCACTGGCACCCTCACCCAATTGAAGGCCGCTTCCCCATGGGAGGGGCTGACAAAGACCTAAGAGCATCCACCATGCCTCACAGACAAAGCTGCGAAGTGAGGGGACTTGTCCTTTCCTGTCTCTATCAAAAATAAAAGAAACTCAGAGTGGCCCCAAGGTCTACTGTCAGCTGGTCCTGTTAGCACAGCACGTGCTGGGAACAGGGGAGAGGGAGCGGCAGGCACAGGGCAGGGGCCTCTGACATGACTGGCTGGAAGGCCAGGCCTCCCTTCCTCACCTGTGAGTCACCGGGGAGCGCCCACCCCACAGATTGGGTCTTGTGAGGCTCAAGCAGAAACGCAGAGAGGGACTACACCCAATTATCTCATCACAACCCAGAATAACACTTCAGTGATGCCGACTGACATGCAGGCTAGGGCCAGGAAGCAAGCCAAAAATAGTCTCTAAGAAACCTAAACAGACGCCTTCTAGTCTCAAGTAAACTCCACTTGACTGGGGAGATTCGCTCAATGGCCTCGCTGCATTCCAACTTACTCTGCTTCTACACATAACGCTGATGCCCAGGCCCTCCCCAAATTAACACAGGCCGGAGCGGTGCTGAGAAGCCAGTGGGCAGTAGTAAAAATGACAGTGGGCCAATGACAAAGAGAGAAAAGGAAAAAACTAGTTAAAAAAAAAAAAAATATGTGAGGGAAGGGCAGAGCACGTGCAGCCTCCTGTGCTGTGAGCTAATGCCACAAGGTAGTATGAAAACACACCTTGGTTTGGTCAAGAAACAAATTGTGCCTTGTCTGGGACTGTTCAATACAGACCAAAATGTAACTGTTTCAAGGATTACGTCCATGAAAGGATCACTTTTCCCAAGGATGGCTACGAAAGCCCTCTTGCTCCACATTGGGTGAAAGGTGTGTGCCCTCACTATTTTTACCAACGCCAAAAATGTTGCAATTCTACCAGAATGGAACCTTTCACCCTAAGGATCTCTCTGCCTTGACTAATAAGGGGATCTGAGGTAACCCAGGAAAAGCCACCAGGAAAATCAATAGTGGCATCCCACACCAAGCTCAGCCACTCTCCTTCCAACTGGTTCCATGCCACAGGCCAAGCGGTCGGACACCAGCCAACTGAAACCAGATAATTTCAAACAAACCGGGAGAATAGACAGTCGGTTTTAGGAAGCTAAAAGGAACAAGCTCTCCATGGGTGTGCCAGAACTTACACCACTCAATGGGTCTGCCTTTCAAAACTGTTCCCTTCGCAGGAGAAATTCCTAGTCCAAAACATTTGTGAGGAAGTCTTCAAAGACTGTTTTGCGAACAAGGATTCCTCACAGGGGGGCTGGGTGGGAAGTTCTTGGGGAGTTTGGGCCAAGTCCAGGCTCTACCTCCCTCAGGTCCCCTGAATCAGAATCTCAAGGGAGATTCAGCACCCACCCCACTTAGGGGACTTGGCATCACCATCCTCGCAGATCACCATGCATGACCTCAGAGGACCTAGAGCTCAAAGCATGGCCGCTGCCTGCTGGTCTGCTGACCTCACACCACCCTGGGGACTCACCTCGCTTTCAGAAGCCAAAGTCAACCAACTGCAAGAGATCTGAGATCAGGATCGACTTTGGCCAGAACGCGCCCCCCCCGCCCCGGCATGGGGCAGGCATGGCGCCCAAACACTGCTGGACACGGGCATCAGCACACATCCTGAGGGCGTCACACACAGCGGTGCCCCGGAGGATGCTGAGGCCCTTCAGGAACCAGGGACCCTACTGGCCGCCCATCTCCCACCCGTGGGCTGGGCAGGTGGGGCGGCTGTGTCGAGAGCAGCCAAGCCATGCTGCCCACGGGGAGGGTCAGCAGAAGGCCCGTTAGAGACGGGGATTTAAACTCAGGGACTCGATGGGGAGTCACCTGAATCTTTGACCTCACTGCAATTTTCTCCTGCTCAGGCAGCATCCAGCTTTCCTTTCAAGGCGCTAAGCGGACCAGTAGCCCAGACTTCCTCGTGGCCCTCCGAGGGCAGCACAGCCAGCACTTCCCTCCCAACACACGTGCACGGGGCCCAGGGGAGGACAGCTGGGGTCGGCCCGGCTGGCCAGGTGGGTCACCCTGCTGACCAGGGACCTGAGCGGGCCCAGGATACTCACACGCTGCTGTCCGTCATGGACATGGAGTCGTCCGTCAGCGCGTCGCTGGAGATCTCGCTGTCATTGGCGCTGGTGGCCGGCGCAAAGACGTAGCCGGAACCCACGTGATAGGGGTTCGCAGGATCGCTCCTCTTGAAGGACCTGCAGGAAAGGACAACCTCGTGTGGTCACCGACCTGCGCCAGAGACCCAGGGTGCCATCCTACCATCTGCTCCGTGCCATCCTGGGCGGAAAGCGGGGACCACAAAAGGGAGGCCTCCTGAGCCCCCCACATACCCTAGGGGAAAGCCAGCTGGATCCTCTGTCCCCAAAGTGGGGCCTGCCCAGGACAGAGGAGCCCAGAGGCAGCCCAGGGGAGCCTTTGGGGGTCTGAATTCACCCGCCCAGAGGAAGGAGCGGGATTCTGTTCTAGAGGGGAGGTGAAGGACAGAAAAGGGAGTATGAGTCAGTGGAAATGAGGTGTTTTCCCCTTTTGCCCCCCATACCCAAGCCTGCATCAGAGGAACACAATGTTGGGGGCCCAGAATATCGAAGCATCCCAGTCCAGATTCATTTAGCACCATCCTGAGACGCAACCACCAGGGCGGCCTCCTCCTTCCAACCCAGGCCCTCGGTGATGGGACAGATATGCCCAGGACAATGCTTAGGGGCCTGTGCCACCCAGAGCCGGCCTCTCCGGCCCTGCCCCCACCCAGGCCTGCCCTCTCCCAGGCTGGCGGAGTCCGGCAGGATTAAAATGAGCAGCACAGCTGTTTCACAGACAAGTCCAGGCCCCTCCTCCGGGGTCTCCTGCCCTTTTGTTTCAGTGGCCTCTGCCTCCCCATTTTGGCCTCTTGATCTCCTCCCAGAACAACCAGTGTGCCTGTCCCCCGCAGGGCCGCATTCCTCTGTGTCACCAGCCAGGGCTGAAGGGGGTGAGGGGGAGGGGAACGGGGCTGCTGTGGTCAGCCGGCTACAGGAGGGGGGCCGGGAAAGACCCTGGCCTGCTCCGCTGGGCCCACCAGACCCAAGCCAACTGAGAAAAAGTCAAGTGGAAGGGAAGGGTTAGGGTTGAGAAGGGACACAGCCTCGGGCCACGGTAGCCATGACGACTGCCTGGGGCTGGCAGTCAGAGGGGCCCAGGAAGGTCCAGGCAGCCTCTGCCAGTGAGTGCTTGCCCAGCTCCTACTCATTGCACCCCGGGTGTACCCAGCCCAGTCTAATCTGGCACCTGCGCCTGGCGGGCGTGCATATCACTAAAAGTGGAGGGGGCACCAAGAAGGGTGTACACAGGGTTATCATGGGGGCCAGGCCTGCCCAGACATCCTCGTGTCTCATCCTCGATGCTTCCTGGGGAGAAGCACTGAGCCCACTTTACTGACGGGCTATGTGGCCCCCAGGCAAGGAGCAGGAACGAAGGCTGGCAGGATGGGGTGCATGAGGCAGCTCTCATACAACCCCACTTTCCACCTCCTGAGACCGAGACAAGCCTCATGTTTTAAAAAGCGCTCAAGAATCAGAGGCAGGAAGGGGCCTGGTGTAGGAAGTCCTGGTCTAGCTTTGATGAAAGATGGCTCCCTGGGACAGGTGGGAGCAAGGCAAACCCACAGATCAGAACTGGAGATAACACCCAGGACAGGGGAGGACAGAGTAGTGGAAAGCGCCCCCACCCCAGGCTGGGGCAGAGGGGGTGGGGCTCTGCAGGGGGGAGGGGGCGTGCCAGCAGGAAGATGTTGGTGCAGGGGTCTTCATTGAGGGCAGCAAACAGAGCTGGAAGAGACGGTCCCTGACTTTACAGAGCTGGCACTGTAGCTGCCAAGACAAAGCCAACCAGAAAAGTGATCTTCCAAATCCCAACATTGTAAAGTCAGAATGAGCCTTGGAAATAATGACCTAACGGAGTCCCCTCAGTTTGGAAATGATAATAAAGACCAGGAGCCACCACTGATGGAGCAGCAGGGCCAGGTCTGTGCGTCTCTTCACTGCTGCAGCCCCAGGGCACAGTAGGTGCTCAGTTAATGCCTGCTGGCCAGTCCTCTCCTTCCACCCTCTCGACCACCTGAGCAGGTAGAGGAGCCCCAAGTGGGGGCCACAAGTCTTGCTGGGGGCCACCCGCTGCAGACTGGACCACCCGGACCCCGTCTGGACCGCGACAGGGCTGGACATCAGCAGGGACCACTGGGCAGGCGGGGACACAGAGCCAGATGTTCAGACTGTTAGCGACATGGAGTGGGTGGAGACTGGGGACGCTTGGGCTCGTCCACACCTGGACTGGCCCAATACCTGGACAGAGACCTTGACCTGGCACTTGGCCATCCTGGCAGCGCTCTCGAGTGTAGAGAGGGAAGATGTCTCACCACTTCCCAGGTGAAATGCTTCATCGGAAATCATGACCATCAAGAAAGGTGACTGACTGGTCCCATGTCCTCAAGGTGGGACTGCCAGACACCGGGGCTGGAGAGAGGACCAGAGGCGCAAAGGCAGGGCAGCTGGTTTGTTTGGAGGAGGGAGAAGACATCTCCAAGCTGCCAAGGAAGCCCAAAGGGCAGAGGAGGGCCCTGCTGACATCCTCTCCTTCACTAAAGGCAGAACAAGAATGGAAACAGCCTCAAATGTCAAAGAACAGGCACTTCCTTGTGCTGAGTGGGTCTGTGGAGGGGACAGAGCAGGTCACGGCATGTCTGTCCACATCTTTAACATGGCCCAAAGTTCCCAGCCACATGGGGTGCTGCACCCTCAAAGCAGGATGGACAGGACAATGTCCTATCTGCAGGAACCAAGTAATAAGTACGTTCTGGAAGCCTGTGCTGTGCCCAAAGATCCAGCCTCCAAAGATCAGGGGGCTGTGTGTTGAGGCTAGTTCAGGTGGGTGCTCTCCAAGGTCATGGGGATCTCCACCTGAAAAGCACACGGTTCAAACAGGGCCATGCGCCTGAGGTTCCCCAAGTGGCAGGGTAACTTGTGGGGAGTCACAGTAATACTCCAAAAACCCAACCACCGCCGACAGGTGGTGTCCTGTGCCACGGGACTATAAGCTCCCTGAGGGCTGTCAGGAACCAGGTCTGTCCTCTTCACAGGAGCCTCTCCAAGGTGGAGGGCAGTGTGAGCTTGTGAGGGGGGGTTGGGGGGAAGCTCAGACCCCACCCCACCCATGAGCCCCCTTCAAGGCCAGGACCATCAATGGTTGACTGAGCCGTTTTTTAGTCTACGAGACCGAGCACAGGATCAAAAAAGCCCAAGGCGGCCGTAAATAGCAAACTCTTTCCCTCCCTTCGGTGTGTGGTATTAACAGTGTCCCGAATGCAAGGGTTGTAATTCGCCCTCTACAGGGAGAAAATGACTCAACAGAAAGGCCTCCCTCCCCAACAAAACAGCGCACCTCGCTCACACCCCAGTGCGCTTGGCTCTCCTTGTTTTGACACATGGATCCCAAAATAAACTCGTCTCCCTCCACTTCCAAAATAGAGGGCTACTGTGTGACCGGTAATTAAAAATGGGAGACAAGGCTCTGTGCTCAGCCGACTGCCATCGAGTCTCCAGAGTGCCCAACAGTCACGACCTGGCCGGGCAGGGGAGGAGGGAGGCCGGCTGCAGGGAGACAGCAACTCGACTTAAGAACCCACCCCTTGGTCAAAATCGCCACCTAATTTTTAAGAAAACGGATTAGAGCTGTTTTCTTGTGATGACTTAAAAAAAAAAAAAGGAAAGAAACTCGACCAGGCCACGGTAATTGTACCCAGATGCTTTGATTATTTCTTCAGGACCGCTGCGCTCCCAGATGCTGTGGGGTTTTGAATTCCTACTGCGAGGAGGGCCTCTGGGGCGGACTCTGCACCGGCTGCGTCCCCAACCCGGCCGTAACTTCACCACGCAAAGGGGTCTCAGCTGTCAGGCAGCAGCAGAGGCTCCTGGGCCCTCAGGGTCTGGGGTCTCTCCCCCCACCACTCTCCTCTCTTATCTTGATGAGATGAGGTGGCCCCTGCCCCCGCCCCTCCCAGGAGGGCGGAGCAGGCACACAAGAGTGGACAATAGGGCTGACCTTTGGGGTCTCTTTCTGGTCCCCTCTCAAAACAATGCAACTTACTAAGTTATGTGCTGCCCAGGCCCCGCGGCTGGGCTTTCCAGAGGCCCTCTGACAATTTACTCACAAAGTTACCGCCCAAAAGGCAATGCTCTCTTCCTGGAGCTGTTTTCTAAGGCAAGATCAAGGGGCATTCCTGGGGTGAAGGGCCTGAGACTCAGGCGGGGCCGGGGGCCTTGGAAAAACAGGCAAACGTCCACGTGCACCCAGCACATGGCCACACTCTGAGTGTGGCACGCTGCTGCTCCCGGCGTATCTCTCCCATGGCATCATTTTCATTGATAATTGAAAGCCAAGCTCGAGTCCAATGGCTTCACACAGAAATGGGCCTCATCAGCCAGTTTTTTCAGGCAACAGGAAGCTGGGGAGCCAGCAGAGGGCCATCTGCTGGGCCAGGCTTGCTCACGTGAGGCCCCAGCACAGGCCTGACGGGAGATGCAGGAGACCGTCTGGGCAGGAACACACAGGGCCAGCCAGGAGGGCTTGGGGGTGGGGGTGCAGGGAGGGCTCTATGCATCCAACTCTGCCTCCTCCTTCCCAAAATAAACGCCGGGCTGAGCGCCTGATCCTGCGGGCCCCTCGCACACCTCCACTCCCCGGGTAAGTGTTTGTGTGCTGGGGTTTTACACGTGCCTCACCGACAGGTCACTCCTCCGGGTTATTTATAGAGCCCATCCGAAGACTCGGCTTCCCACTCAACCACTTGCCAACCAGAGTCCTTCCCTGCGAGGATAATTCCTGCTCTTCCGTTCCAACTGTTTATATTAAACCCAACACCAAATGAGTAAGGACACAAACAAGTCATTAAAAATGAGGACCCGAGGTGAGCACAGGGCTGGGGGGGAGGGGTCAAGCTGTGCTTGGGGTACCCAGCTGGTCAGACCGCCCCTCAAGGGCTAATGGGGGTGGGCCCTCCAAGACACTCAGGTTTTCTATCTCATTCATTTCAATACTAATTAATAAGTTCACTCCAAGGGCCAGGTACTCTGAGTACCTGGGGAGCAGCAGAACTACCTGGGCAGACTTCAAGGGTGCAACAAGAACTCACTGGACAGACTTTAGTTCAACAAGTAGAGAAAGAGGAGGCACAGGAAGGGGGGCTACTTTACAGTTTTACCAAGAACCTGGGCTAAAAGACAAGAGTCACTCTTTGAAAGTGATAGCCCAACCTGGTTGCCCTTCACACACCTGATTATTATCATCATTGAGGTATACTAATTAAGATGCTTGACGTCTGCTCAAAACACTTCCCTCTACCAAAAGCTTTCATGTTTATTATTCTGATCTTAATAGCACCCTATGACATAAACAGAGGGATGGTGCCCACTCCTTCATTCCACATGGGGTGCAGAAAGGCTTCAACAGGGAAGCAGTGGACAGGCTACTGAGCCATTCAGGACACTCCCGCAACGCAGCATACATACACTTGAGTATCTTTCATGTTGAAAGGAAATTTGAATCGATCGAAAAAATGCTCTTTGGCAAGGCCAGTGAAGACACGCGGGCTTCACGTGCTGCAGGTAAAATATGTGGTTTCAACCCCCCGGTGGGAGGAAAGCACATGGGAATCTAGTTTGGACACTCGGTGAGAGACTGATGAAAAGGAGTCACTGTACACCAACGAGGCCCACGGTTCACCACCAAGACGACAATGGGAACACAAAGGATCTTTGGCACCTGCCTCCAGGATCTCAAAAGCGTGGCCAGCATAACAGACAAGGTGAATGCAGGTAACAGCCCAGCTGAGAGCTCTGGAGAGGGAGGAGCATACCGAGGCTGCATCTCCACTGCCCACCCACAGGGGGAGGAGCCCCTGCAGGGTCTTGCCTGGCCAGGGCTTAGGATTTACTGATAACATCCCAGGCCACCCAGGTGCAGGTGCTACTGACAAAGGTGACACTCTGGATCCTGACACTGGGAGACACAGAAGCCCCCCCTGGAGAAGGCCCCCGGTGAAGCAGCCTTCCCACAGGCCCTAAGTTGTCTCAGCTGTCAAACAGAGAGGAGTCCGGCCGAGGTTTACCCAAATGTTCACATAATGCACCAGACAGAAGCAGCAGGTGCCAAGTGACTGCCCAGCCACAAAAGCCCAAGCCAGTATCATCCTCCAAAACAACCAGAAACCATAAGCTTAAAGATGCTGAAACAACTCCTTAGCTTGATCCTATGTGTTCCTGCAAAAACCAATTGGAGGCCACCTAGGGGTAGACCAGATGTCTTTCGAGTTTGGGTTGCCGGGTTTCCAGGGCAGTAAGTGTGCCCCCTGGTGGCTGAAGAATACATCCTTCCCTGGCTGCCAGCAGTCAGCAGTCAAGTCTCCACCACCCCGAAACCCCTGCAGGGTTAAACTCAGAGCTGGCTACTCGGCCCCAGCCCTCCATCCCTCCATCCTGAAGAGATACCCGGAGGCCCTCCAGCGAGCAGGCAATCTCCACAGATCCCCTGTCCCCAACACTGGGAGAAACACACAATGAATAGCAAGATAAGCCCTTCAGATAGCAATCAAGTGCCCAGCCACAACCTAGAATTAAGAGGCTCATTGTCTTTTTGGTATTTGGAAGGGGGAAGCGAAAGAGAAACATTCTAACAGGTCTGAAGTTGCCTCCAAAGGTCAAGAATCGTAAAGACTTGGATGGCTGTTTGTCTTTGAAGCCTCAAACAGAGAAAGTCCTCCAGGGTCCCAGCGCTTTCTGGCCCCGCCCTCTTTCTCCATCAGGACCAAGCAACAAACTAATCAAATGAGGTCTGACCCTCCGGCTATAAGCATTTAAAACCTAGTACCTAAGCATATACATATGCTACTCATATTCGCCTCTACACGTACAGACACAGACACTGACACACCTAAATCCATACATTACATGTGCCAGTAAGCAGAGCAGTAGTCTCTGGACCTAAGGGTCCTTCGTTCGGAAGTCACAGGGCCTGCCCAAGTTAGGAGAGTTTCTTGCTGGGCAAACAGCTAATTCTACAAAGAGCATCACCAGCTCCGTGGTTGAGCCGACTGCTCTCATCACAGCACAGAAGTTCAGAAGGCTCCACTTACCCCCATGTTCAATGGGTGCACACTATTTCCCGTGCCTCCAGCACAACCCAGCTGCCTTCCTGGCCACATTAACGCCACTCTACTGATTAGTGGTGAATGACCCCTTCCCAAGCCAGCGCTGAGTGTATCTGGTGACTCAGAAGCATCAAAAGCTGCTGTCCTCTCCTCAACCCCTTCTAAGGCTGGCCCAGGATAATAAGTAACCCGCATTAATGAATACTGCTGGCCACTGTTTGAAGTCAGCCCTGGCAGACTGCAGGTCCTAGCTGTGTGCGCATCACTTTCCCCCTTTAAACAACGAAAGAACAAGATCAAAGGGCTCACGGCCAGCGGTCCCAGCTCCGGGCAGACCCTCGTGCGCCCAGGCAGCACATCCATCCACCACACCCCGCAGCCAGCCCCCCACCCCGCTTAACGTAAAACATCTGCAGAGTCCAGCTCATCCGCCCACCCCTGCCCGGGCCTTACCTGTATCCATTGTCAACAGCCTCTGTGGACCGCACGCTCGCTGTCGCCCTCAGAGTTTTGCTGGACAAGCCAACCACAGTGGGTGAAAGTTTGCACTTCAAGTCGGCACAAGTCCACTCCTCCTCTTCATTCAAGGTGGGGAGATAGCCACACACCACCTTCAGGCTCCCCAGTCCCCCGTTACTCATGTAAGCTGTGTTTTCTCCCCCACTCCTCACATACTCGAGGTATATATCAGAAGTCAAAAACATCTGGTAGGCATTTTCCTCCATCACCGCCTGGATCTCGGTCTGTGCCTGGTCGAACATGATGGAGTCGATCTGCTGCTTCTTGATACCATCTCGAATGTAGGTCTTGGTGGCGGGTTTCAGCTGCTTGGAGACGATGCTGTTGTTCTCGATGTACCTTTTGTAGATTGCTTTGGCCACTCGTAAAGTTTTGGAATCCTTCAGGTTCATCAGCCTGAACCCATTGCAGGCAAACCAGAAGTCCAAGGTATCCACGCATTTCTCCCTCTCCAGGAAAGTCCGGAAGAGGTAAGCACCGTCCTGATCGCCCAGCAAGGACAGCAAGGACTTGGACCACCTGGTCAGAGGGGAGTCTGGGGACGCGCGCCCCTCCGGCTCCCCCAGGCCATCCTCGTTGCGCCGGGCGTTGGAGGACACAGGTGTGGGCTTGGCGGCCTGGCCTTTGCCCACCCCAGGCTGGCAAGGCGGGGTGTCACCTTCCTCCCCGGGCACCGGGGGTCGAGGGGCATCCTCGCGGAAGCTGCTGCTGGGGTCGGGGAGGCGAGGCACCAGCACGGCGCTGCTCATGGTGAGGGAGTTCTTCTGAGTTCGGGGATTTTTTTTCCTCCTTCCAGTTCCTCTCAGCAATCAGCGTGGTCTCTCTCTCTCTCTCTCTCAAGTCAGCAGGGGCTCATCTGAGCCTCCTTTCTGGAAAGAGAAGTAAAGGGGGAGGTAGGGAGAGAGAAAAGGGTATTGATCTAATCAAAACCAGATCTACCCAACATCAAAGCAAGAAAGTAAACAGGCTTTTCAACTCCTCAAATTCAAATCAAGCAGCCCAGCTATCTGCGAGGTGCTCATCTAAAGTATCACACGCAGCTTTTCCAAAGGTGAAACCCGAGCTCCCGGCACCAGGGGGTGGGGTGGGGTGGGGTGCGCTGGGGGAGGGGAAGGTGAGAGGTGGGGGCGGAGGGGCGTCCGAGGTGTAAGACCCCACCCTCCCCGACCCCGCGGGCCCCGGGGCGGGCCGGGCAGCTCGCGCCTCGCCGCCCCCCGCCCGCCCCGGCCCCCTCCCCGATAGCATCAACCCCAGAGACGCGCACCGGCCCCGCCGGGCTGGGTGCAGGTGAAACCAATTTCGGTAAATTTCCCCACTCGGCTCCGCGCACAGATAACTCAGCTCCAAACGTGCCCCTCGCCTGCATCTGGTTCCCATTCCCCCCGCCCCCCCCCCCAGCGCGCCCCCGTCCCACTTCTTAAAAATTCAGAGGATCCTCAACCCAGAAGGCAGCCCGCCCAGCGCAGGGCGGAACGCGCGCCCCGACTCCCAGCTGGGGAGCGCGCCCCCGCCCCCGCCAGCCAGATGTGAGGTTCGCAGCGCCCCCGCCCCCCGCCCCGAGCGCGGCTCCGTCTACACCTCTGCCTTCCCCGCGCCCCAAAACCAGAAACCCACTCGCTCAGACGAGCCTTTGATCTCCAAACTTTGGAGGGAGCGGAGAAGCCGCGGGACCCGCCGCCCCCGGCCGCCCCCGGGAGCCGCACACCCCACAAAACCGGATCCGAAACCGTCTCGCGCTTCCACGGGCTGTGCCAAGAACCCCAAACTCTGCTGACCTCAAGCCTGTCTCCTTCTCCCCAAAGAAAAGTCTGATCTCACCAATAAACAAGCCGCCTTCCCTAGCACCGAAAAGATCACGCGCGGGGGAGCCGCGTGGGCCGGGGGCGCCCGCGAGGCCCGGGGCTGCCGGGGGGCGCGCGCGGTGCGCCCCCGGGGGCTCAGGCCGCCGGGCCGGGCAGCGAGGCCCGCGGAGCTGCGGGGCGGCCGGGAGCGCCGCGTCCCCGGCGCCGAGGAGAGGTGGGGCCGCCCCGTTACCTGGAAGACGCCGGCGGCCCGAGGCCGGGCTCTCATCGCCGCCGAGCCCCGCCGGCCCGAGCCCCGCCCGGCTCCGTCCAGAGCCCGAGCCCGGGGGGCTCTCGCGGCGCCCCGAACCCGGGCGCGGGTCGGTGCCGGCGCGCGCTCGCCCGGGCGCCCGCAGGAGCCGCGGCCCGGCTCAGAAATGGCGACCGGCCGAGTCCCTGCCTCTCCGCCAGAGGAGCCGGCGCGGCCGGGGGCGCGGGGCCCGGGCGGGGAGGAGGGACGCGGGGGACGCGGGCGCCCCGGGCTCGGGCCGCTCCAGCGCGCAGACTGAGCCCCGCCAGCGCTCGCGGCCCCTAAGCGCGCACCAGAGAGCGGGCGGGGGAGGCGGGGCGGGGGGCGGGGGAGAGGGCGAGGGAGGGGTGGCGGGAGGGAAGGGGCGGGGAGGGCGGGCGGGGGGCGCCGCCACCCTTTCATCCCACCTTCCCCAGCCCGTCCCGGGCACACTCGGCCCCGGCTCACGTCCGCAGCGCCGGGGACGCGGCCCCCGCGGGTACCTGCCCCGCTCGGGCCCCGCCGCGGCCGCCGCGCGCGCAAGTCTGCGCCCCGCGCCCCCGCGCCCCGGCCGCCGCGCCGGGCAGGGGGCACCGCGCAGGGCGCGCGGGCGGCCAGGCGGAGCCCCCGAGCGCCGGGCGCGGGGCCCGCCGTTCCCCTCCGCGCCCGCCCGGAGCGCGCCCCGAAATAGCCGGGCTGCCAACTTCAAAGGGCCGCCGGCACATCAAAGCGCGCCGCCCGCCGCCGCGGCCTGGACACTCACCAGGGATCCGCGCGCGCGCGCTCCGCGGCGAGCCCTCGCAGGCGCCCCGGGCCCGGCCCTGGCCCCGGGCCCCGGATCCACTCGCGGCGGCGGCCGCCCCGGGCCCCCCCGGGCCGGTGCCGGCGGCGGGGAACATGGGGAGTCGCGCCGCCGGGGAGGGGGTGCGGGAGGCGGCGAGCTCGGGATCAGAGCGCGGTCCGCGGGCGAGGAGGCGAGCGGCGCGCCCCGCCGCCCCTTTTATGCAAAAGACCCGCGCGGGCCCCCGCCCCCGCCGCGCGCCCCGGCCCCGGCCCCGGCCCCGGCCCCCGCCCGGCCGGCTGGAGCGCGGGTCCTGTTTCCAGCAGCCGCGCCGCGCACCAAATGTCCTCCGGGCGCGTCCAACAAAAACTGCGCTGTGGATTTAACTGTGCACTTCAAAGGCGCGAGCCGAGCGCACGGTCCTGAAAGGGAGGTACGCGCCGGCCGCGCCCCCGGCCGCCCCCCGGCGCCCCGACGCCCCTCCGCGCGCCCGGCCGCCCCCGCCCCCTCGGGGCCCCCAGCCCGGCCGGCCCGGACCCCCTCCGGCCCCCGGCGCCCGCGACGCGGCCGGGCGCGACCTCGCCCCCCGCCCGCGAGGGGCGTTCTGGGGAGCCGCCGGGCGGGGGCCGCGCCCCCACCCCCACCTTTCACAGCAGGGCTTTCGGGGGGCGGCCCGCGCCCCCGACGCCGCGCCGTCCCGAAAGCCGGCGCTCAGAGGGGTTATTTTTATTTCCCGGCGCTCGGGCTGCTACTCAGTTGCCAGGACCTTATCAAAGCGCAGCCGGCTCCAGCCGACTCCCCCGGGCCGGGTTGGGGAGCCAGTGATCCCGCCGCGCCAATCACCGCCGCGCCGCCCGCCCGCGCCGCCCGCCTTAAAGGCACGGCGCCCCGGCCCGCCCCGCGCGCCCCCGCCGCGCGCCCCGCGCCCCGCGCCCGCGGAGCCCCGCCCCGCCCCGCCCGCCCCGCGCCCCGCGCCCCGCGCCCCGGGGGCGCTCCCCGCCCGGGTTCTGATTTCGTTTTTCTAGTTCTCGGGCCGCCTGGCTCCGGCCGCCGCCCCCTGCGCGCGCGCGCCCTGCCCTGCGCTGGAGAGCAACAGTTTATTGTAGCGCTCTGGCCGCCGGCAGAACTGCAAGCAGGCAGGTTTTTTTTTTTTTTTTTTGCTGTCATCAAACATTTTTCTACCTCCATTCAAGTTTCCCTGGTCATTTGGGCTTGGAGGATCTTGTCCCTGGATCCCAAGGCCAGGTGTCTCGGGGCGAACGCGCGCCGGACGCAGAAGGCGCCTGCGGACTAGGGCGCTCGCGCACCGCGGAGTTTGGGGGGAGACCGCCGCGCGTAGGGGGATGTGCGAAGACCGGGGTGAATGGGCCCGCGGAGGCCCCGGTGGTGCAGGCCGCCTGGAAGGCTGGTGCCCCAAGTGTGCCTCAACTTGCTGAAGAATGGAGCCCAATCTCGAAGTCTGGCCACCGGGACCCTCCTTGCGCAGTGCTTGGCCGTCTCTGACCGCTGCGCATCCACAGCCTTGCCAGCGTCCCTACCCCCCCATATGTTAACTATTACTCGGGTGTGGAATGTCTCTCCCCGCCCCCCCCACACCTGCATTTTTTAATGTCTTGACAACTGCTCTCTCTCCCCCTGCTATCACTTTTGAATTGCTCCCCACCTTCCCTTGAAATATTCACAAAGCACAAGCTTCTCTTCTCCCCTAAGATGACAGGAAACTCTGCCACAAACCCAGGACATTATTTATGTTCTTTCTATTGCTACAGAAAGATCCCTCACACGATGCACTAATAATTAACTTTTCCGCCTCTCCAAAAACATAAAAGTGAAAAGCAAAGAGTTTCAAGAAGTGGAAGAAAAAGCCCAGCCTAGTCCCAGCTGTGGGGCCTTGTCTTCCCTCCTCCATCTCTGCTCCCTTTTTCTTTATGCACTTTCTTGTTGAACTTGGTGCTAAACCCTTCTCAGAGCAGAGGTACCTCTTACCGTTCCTTGCCGGGTCAGAACTTTAGAATATGCACAAAACAGATCCCTCTGCTCAGATTTCTATAGGAAGACAAGTAGCTAGCCAGCCGCCGGCGCCTTCGCAGGGACCGTTCCTCGTCCCCAGCCTGTGGGGCTGTGACAAGGGACGGGAGCTCTTGTGGGCCAGGCTGCTGGCTTTTCAGTTCTGGGCGTGGTGGCAGGTGGCACCTCCCTCCCCAAGACCTGCCTCTGCAAGACCTGCAGTCCATCCGTCCATCTGTTCCATTGCTCCAGGCTCACCTCCCCAAGCAGCCTTGGCTGTGGGTCGGGGCTATGAAACTCGAGCTCCTCAAGGCAAACTGACAAGACTGGCGGGAGAGGGCGGCCCTGCTGGGTGTGAGGAGACTTTCAGCCCGTCCACTCCAGGTCACCCTATCCAGCCACCCAGCTTTCTGGAATGCCAGTTTGTGGGACCCTCAGCCAAGGGCTTACCATCACCTTTGCAGGGGAAGGCTGAGAGCAGAGCTGTCCCTGTGGTTCCTGGGAGCCTTTAGGTCATTACGGGAAGAAAAATGTATACAGAGAACGCATTGCAGTAGCCACCAGAGCAGCATGCACGCGTGCACGTGCCCGCACACACATGCACACACGTCATGGGAGAAGGGGGTATAGAGAAAGCAAAACATCCCAAATCAAAATAAACAATGATCAGAAAGAGGGCGCTATAAAAAAGGAAGTGGAAACTTGGTCTTCGTGGGTGGTTTCCCTCCCCTCCCGGCTAGCCCCACTGCTCCCGCGCTGCCTGCAGACGCCCCAGGACCATCTCAGGCTCAGCTTAGCCAAGGACGCTCCTTCTTCTCCATCCCTCGCCCAGGCAGCAGCAGAAGCGAAGCGGGGCCTGGAGGCGGAGACCTGGGAGCAAGGCCTAGTTCAGCTTGGAACTACTTGGTAATAACCCTCGGAGAGCCTGCTTTCCAGAACAGGTGCTCGGTCACCTTGGGCCAGAGCGTCCCTCCTCCTACCCCCTTCACCCCACTTGGAGTCTGGTGGTATAGTCCCCACCCAGCAGGACACTGGGCCAAGTGCTGAGAAGCCAGGTGTCCTCTCTAGCCTCCAGGTCTTTGGCGACTTGTTGATAATATTTCTGGAGAAGCCAAAGTCCTTCGCTTCCACCCAGCCCCTTTCTCAAGATAGCACAGTTTTCCATTTTCCCCTTCTCCCTGGCAGCAGCGCTATCATGTGACTTGTTGTAATCCTGCTCGGTTGCCTGGAAACTGGAAAGCAAGGTGATGGATTTCTGCACATGCTCACTCCCCCCCCCCCCCTTTAAAGAAAAACCCTATGGAGGATAAACAGCCGCTTTGCCTAAGTGCAGACAAGTTTAATAAAGCAGGGAGTCACTTGTTTCTGGATTTATAAACCAGACTGAAATCACAGAAAGCCAGAAAGCGAGGACCCAGGGCTGCCTGAAAGGCATCCTGCCAGATCACCAACCTTTGCTCTAGTGGGGAGGGGAAGTCACCCCAGCTGTGACTGCAGAGCGGGCAGACCCGGGACATCCCTCTGTAAGATTCAGTGACTTTGTGTTTTATTATTTTGGAAAAGTGCCACCTCAGACAATGTACCTTTGTTTAGGGAGGGAGCTGGAGAAAGACACAGGTAACCTTCCCTGCAACTGCAGGTCATTTCACTGCCCTCAGTTCCCCTGGTGCTCACCTGTGGAGCTGCGGTGAGGATGAGCAGTCAGGTAGATGCCTGGCTCAGGGAGCGACACACAGTAGGGACTCAAAACCTGGTGGCTTGTTCCACACAGCCACCCATTGCCTGAGCAATCTGTCACCTGTTCTGGGAAGAAGCCCTCACCTCCAAGGCAGAGATGACCCCGAATTAGGAGCCACACTCCATGCTGGGAGACCTGGAAGCTGGCTGAGGAGGTCCTGAAGGGTCACCGCCCACACCCCATCTTTCCTGCAGAGAGGAGCAGGGGCCAGCAGACAAAGGGTGCTATGCCCTTCCGCCCTCTCTCAAAGGCAGTCCTATCCAGTACCCAAAAAGAAAGAATTATCTAGCCAGGGGGCCCTTAAAGTGTTACCTAGCTCAGGCCACCATTTAAGAGTGGAAAACCAAGCAAAGCAGAGGTGAAGGGATTTTCCCGTTGCTTCTCCCAGGTCAGAGCTGAGCCAGATGCTCCTGGCCAGGGCAGGGCTGGCTAAGAGGGGACCCTGAGCGTCCCAAGTCCTTGGCTTCCACAGCAGGGCTAATACATATAATTTGGGGTGCTCTCCTAAAAGAATCATCTCAAGACTCCAGCCTGAAATTCCACGGAAGCACTGCCTTCTGCCCGCCCCGTGTACAGCTAAACCCCACACCTGGGCCACCCTCAGCCTGATCCCCGGTGGTTCCACCAAGTCTTACGGTGGCAGCCACTGCAGATCGGTCCACCTGATGGGGGGAAACTGACAACCTGAGGAGGAAGAGAGAAGGGAAAGGCCGGCTCTGCTTCCTGCTAGTCAGTGGCTCTACTTCCTCTTCCCTTTGTGGAAGGGGGATTGGGAATTTCCAGGTGGAGATTTTGAAGTTAGGATCAAAAAGGTGAGGTTTTCCTCTTTCTTTCCTCTGTGCCTTTAGAGTCAAGATCCTCCTGGCTGGACCCCTCCCCCCAGATTCCCAGGCACCCGGCCTCACCTCCAGCAAAACACTTGGGCTGAGCTACCTCTCCTGCCACCTGGTCAACCAGAAAGTCACTGAGGAGGGGCCCATGTTTTATGACACCTGAGTCCCTTCACCCAGTTCCCAGCAGAACGTAGGTCTCTATACATGGTTGAACTGTAACTGTGGATGCGGGAAATATGGGGAGTATTTACCCACTGGTTGCCACCCGGCCAACCAGAAGGTAGATCAGCCTAGGTCCGGGGGCAGGACCTTGGAAGTCGCCTTCCAGAATTAAGACTTTAGTTGCCAGGATCCCGGGGAGTGGTAGGTGGATGGTGTTCTCTAAATGGACCCCCAGGGGAGCAAAAATGTGCCATCCGAGAATATGTCTTTTTTGGCAAAAGGTTGAGT